CTAAAGAGTCAATAGTCTACATCTAAGTCCGAGATACATAAAGCAACACCAAAAGAGAGAAAATAAAATAAAGAATAAAATACATAAAAGGCCGTCTTGGTCAGGGTGACCGGACAAGGAGTCCACAATGTCAAAACTAGTCAGGGGCAGGTGGTGGCGGTCGACCGAATCTGAAGGATGGGTACTCTAACTGGTCCATCCAAATGAGTGTCCGAAGCCGGAGGGGAATATCCTCAGGAAGGAGGGTGCGTCTCTGGGGTATAGAAGCCCCCGTGCTAGCAAGAAAATCAGCAGGCCGATTCCCCTCCCGGAATATGTGTGAGACCTGGTAATGGATCGAGCGGAGGGTGTCTCTGATACGCATAAGAGGATGCTGGATCTGCCATGAGCCCTGGTGGCCAGATGTCAGAAGTGTGATGACAGCCGCAACATCCATCTCAATCCAGACATGAGAGGAGATCGAGGCGGCAATCTCGAGGCCAATCTGGAGCGCCTGAATCTCTGCATCATAACTCGAGGAGGCCCGGAGTGGCCCATGGAAGGCAGAGATGAGTGCCCCACCATGATCCCTAATCATGCCCCCTCTTCCAGCAGCTCTGGTATGTCTGTGAAAGCGCCATCAGTGTTTAGCTTAACCCAAGGGGCCTTGGGTTTCAGCCAAACAACGGTCCTGGGTCGTGGATGCTGGACAGGTAAAGGAGGAGGTGGCCTCAACCGATGGGGCGGAGTACACCCTGTCCAGTCTCTCGTCGTGAGTCTACCCAGGGCGGTGAGGAGAGAGAGGTGTCTGTCAACCTGCAAAATAATGTGAGCACAAGAAAATATAATATCCCTATGCTTCGCATTATTCCTATCTGTCCAGGTGGCCCATAGGATCAGACAAGGAATAAGGAATCCCACGTGTCTACTGTGTGTGCGGTGTAAGAAGAAACTCAGGAGCTCAAAAAAATTGTCTGTAGTGGGTAGGGGTATATGAGTATATCTGGCATAGTGCTCCCACACTCTCCTCACAGTCTCACTCTCAAGGAAAAGATGGGCGAAAGTCTCGATCTCAAAGGTACCGGTCTCAGCACAACAATGGTAGCGGGAGGGGAAAGAGAACCCTCTCGCCTGCATCACAGTGTCAATGGGAATTCGCCGTAATAGGAGACGCCACAAAAAGACGGAAATGGCCGGGGTGAGAAGATCAGTCCATATGGCCCCGAAGAGGCGGTTTGGCGGTTACCCAGCCTCACCTCTCCCCAGGCTGAGGACGTAGAGAATGCACCCGAAGATGTAAGTCTCCACCTCATGCCATCCAAACCTCCCTCCATAATGGGAATCTGTCGGATCTGGTCAATCTCTAGACTACTAAAACCCCCACCCTCACCAAGAATATCCTCCATCCTATCTCTATCCCAAAGCCCTCCCGTCCAAAGGTCCTTCACCTGCATGAAAGGCAGGTGGGTGACGGGCCTAGTACTCGAGAGAGGGGCCTCGCCAAACCACCACTCATCCCAGAAGCTAACCTACCCAGAACCCAAGGTCCAAAAGATGTGCTCCTGAGCACGCCTGCCAACAGTGGTAAGACGTCTCCACTGACGACTATCCCGAGCGGTGGCTATCACCCTGCAGGGATGAGCAGCACCACCATGGCAATATTTCCTCAGGAGGTATTGGGCCCAAAGGGACTTGCCCTCCCTAAGGCGCCACCACATCCTGTAGGAAAACGCAGTAACCATATCAGAGAAACGCCGAATCCCCAGCCCACCCTCAGAGTGGGGACGACAGATAGAGTCCCACTTCACCCAGTGGGTCGGCCGTCGATCGCGCGAGCTCTCGCCATGGCTCCAAAAATAGCGGGCTAAGATCTGATCTAACTCATGAATCGTAGACTGGTGGGGGTCAAGGACCGCTAGAAGGTGAAGAGGAAGGGCACAAAGAGTGCTCTTGATCAGAGCAAGTCAGCCTCCGAAGGATAGGTGTCTATGAGACCAACCAGAAATCCAGTCAATCATCCTCTGACGGACATCAATAAAAAGCTCATGGGAAAGATGACCTTTGTACAAGGGGGCCCCAAGGTAAGGGATGGGTAAGTCCCCACGAGCAAAGCCAGTACGCTCGTGAATCTGGTGGGCCCAATGGTCTGCAAGTTAACCCATAATTAATGACAAAGTAAACACTTCACACTTACTTTGTCAAACCAAATATAAATTATATTGTGAGATGCGGGGCGCGGAAAATTTTTTAATCGGACCTCCATATTATGTTGCTATTATTGAAGTCGAGTAGACATGATCATAGGTAGCTCTGCCGTCGCTTCGGCCTGAATCGGCATAAATCGGCCCGTGATTTTGACCAGTCCGGTTCATGTCCAATACATTATTGTTTATACATTTCGATGTTCAATACATTATAATCTATACATTTCGAACTGACTTGTTTCGATTTCGAACTGAAATCGGAGTCGGAGGTTCGGCCTTCTAAAAAAATATTATTATTTAATTATTTTTTATTTTTGTTTAATGAACCAGACGGTTAAGAGCCGACAGTTCCATAAACCAGCCGTGCACATGTTTAGGTCGGTTCAAGTCCCTCCAACCCTTAGCACAGGACCGACGGTTTCGACCCGAAACCAGTTTTGGCCATGACTAGAACAAAATTATCTGTTAATATATTCCAGTTCAAATTGTGAAAACTCAATCTCGACTCGTTTATATATTTAAACAAGACAAACTCAAATAGCTAATCGAACTTGTCACTCAAACAAATAGAGTCGAACATGACTCGATAAGAGTTTTTTCTTTCAATAAAAATCAAATGAAAATGGTTAATGGACTGTGCAATGAGACAAAACCTAATTAAATAGCATGCAGGAGAAATGTGTGTCAAACTTAATTATCCAACACATTTGATATTATGAATTTAAAAGGCAAGAGAGTGTTGGGTCACATTATAAATCCAATTGATAAAAATCTAGTAAGGGCGTAATTTTTAATTGGCAATAAAGAATTGTCTTCTTTTATCTCACTATGAAAATCGCTTATCCAAAATTGTTATTAGATGAACGAACTCGACCTTAATCCTGAGGTATTCAACTCGAAATTAGATGAACTAAATAAAAAATTACATGATGTTATATATAAAATTAATAAAAAAAAATTAAAGTTAGCAATTTTTTTTAAAAAAATTTATGGACATAGGGATGGAGCCCACCCTAGCACAAGGATGGCTTCACCCCTGGTGAAATGGTTTAATCGTTATGTGGGTCGACTCATCACTTTTTCAATGAATCGTACACACTTCTAAGAATTTACTTAAGGGTAATGCTATGTGAACAACCGTGTTGAGAACTTTGTTGACAATCTGAAATATACGGTTGAGATGGTCATAAATTAACGGTTAAGATTTGTTTTAATCTTAATTTATTATTTTTTGACTTTTGAATAAAGTGTAAC